CCCTTGAGGAGGATGTAAGGAGTGGGGTGGCAAAAAATGATGCAATGAGTCATGTCTGTGATAGTTCATGGAACAAGTTGGACCCCCGACATCCAGGAAGTATGAGACTTCTTGCTCTTAAACATGATGAAAAGATGAAAAAGAAGAAGAAGAGAAAGGTTAATGTAAATGTTCATTTTCTTATTTATGAGTTGCCTAATGAACTAGTATAGGAAACAAGTGACCCTCATACCACGATTGAGCTGTCTCTACAATCCTTAACATTGACAGAGGATGCGTTTGACGAGGCTTCTACGAGTGAGCCTCCATTAGAAAATAATTTTACTTCTCAGAACCCTTCTGAATTAGTAGAGTCTCCTTCTAATGAAACGACTCGTTTTCTCGCCAACATGATGTCATTTGATGGTGATTTACCTCCAGAACTCGTCATGGAACCCAGTGTCGTGCTTGGCGAAGTGAGAAACCTTCAAGTACGCTTGACGCCTCAAATGATAGAGGAAAAGAAAAGAAGGAAGGCTGAGGAATCTCTGATTAATATTCTTGATGATCCAGAACTAGAACTTCCGCATAGGAAAAATGAATAAGGATGAAAGAGGAAATTTATTCTCAAAATTGATTTGGAAGATGGGACAGTAATTACTGATGTAATTACCAAAATGTTGGAAGAGACAGAAGTGACTTCGTCCTTCAAGGAAGCAATGACTCTAGCACCCAAGCTGAGAGAAAAATTAAAGAAACTGATTGAGAAGAAGAAATTAAAAGTTAATTACTTGGGATCAGATTCGCAACCATGGGATGTGGACACCTGACCATTTATATTAATCAAGTGAAGATTCGAGCCTTAGCCTTCAGAGTTCGAGCATCTCAGAAGGGGATCTTCTCCAAACCTTATCTACCCACATTATGGGAAGAGTTTTGCTCGATGATTGACTTTCGGGTCATGTACCTTTGATGGGAATGCTCAGAGCTTGCAGGCTTCAGGTGGCTGTACATACAGAGACCACACCCTCAGAGAGTACGGAGACATGACAAGAAGCTCAAACGACAGACAACAAAATGAGAGATTGAGTGTGAAGTTCAGAGGGATGAGTGAGGACTCTTGATTGGTGCTGGTCATGCTCTTTCCATATGTACTTCCTGAGACTATTATGAGTTTTCATTCTTCCCTCATTTAACGTTGTCATTGCTCGAGTCGGACAGTCTGGCTTCTTGCATTGTTGTTTTGCTTAATGGTTGTACTCTTTGATGATTCTGTCACGGTTCTCAAAATTAGTAGGCCGACAAAATTGGTGCATGCATGACATATCAGCATTTCATGATTATTATTTGCATGACTCTCCACTGTTCCGAATCAAAATAAAAGATTCCTAAGACCGGGGACCGGCGAAGATCGCAATTGAAGGGTCTCGCTCGAAGCCGGACGCACACAACAGGATGAGATTTGCTTTATTTAATTTATTTTATTTATTGCAAATGCATCCAAAATCCTGCGTGACAACCTGTTGGTTTTCCGGTCGCCTGAAGCGGTCCGACTGGAAAAAAAGTACGACAGCGCCACGCACTGCCCCGTCCCGCCCCGCCCCGCTCGCGGATATATATTATCAAGATCTGGGAGTGCTACAGCTGCCAGGGTTTGAACCTGGGCAGCTGCTGCCCATGCGCGTGTGTGGCAAGTGCCTTAACACGCTGGCGAAAGCCACAGTATGGATTGATACTGTGGCTTGTTGTTGTTGAAGAGGTGGCACAACAGCTATTACCCCCCCCCCCCGTCGGCGAGCAGCGAGTAGTGTGCGGCAAAGCTATTTGCCCCCCCCCGCCCACCCGCTCTCCCTGCCCCCCCCGCCGCCGTGGCTGCTGCTATCCGCGGACGTGGCAATCTGCTGCGCCACGTGGACACCTGTTGAAGACCCCCTTGGCTAGGGGGAAGCACCACAGACATAAATATATATATATTACTACTTCACTGTTGTAGCAGCAGTTTGGCAACAGTTCAAGATTCCCCACTGGTTAGGGGGATGTGTGACTGTGGCAGTAGGGTGGCTGATCAAGATCTCAGCCAACCCTAGATCATCATCATCTTCTTACTGATGTGGCATCACACCAGTAGCATCTTGAAGGCCAAGATCATGTGGATTTTGGTAGAACTCTGGTCTTGGCTACCCAAGGGTCTGGTATCACCCTTCTACCACTAACCTACCCTCCCCTAACCCCTTTTTTCTTCCCCCCCCATCATCTAATCATTTTTTCTCCCCTCTCCCACTACTCCCTACTCCTACCCTCCTCTCCACTCATCCTCCACAACCTTTTTCTCTCCTATCCTCCCCACTCACCATCTCCTACTAATCTCAAATAGGTGAGAAAGAGAAAAAGAGTGAAGGGGGAGATAGGAGAAATGATGGGTTGTAGTTAGGGGAGGGAAGGGGGAGAGGAGAGTGGTAGAATGGGAGAGAAGGATATAGAAAAGGTTTTACCTTTCCATCCCCCCTTCCCCCCCAACTTCGAAAATTTTCTGTTTTTCTTCTTTTATCTTTCTTTTGATTTATGTTTCCTCCTTTTCTCCAAAAATTCAAATTATCTTATTCCCCACCTTCTTTTGTCACTTTTTGATTTATTTATTTATTTATTTATTTTTCTGAAAATTTGAATTTCCTTGCGGCACCCTCAAATCTGATTAGGAGTTAGTCATTCTTGCTTTCGGCACACATTTTGACCCCGTGGGGGTAACAAAGTGCTGGCAAAATTTTCTGTTTTTTCTTTACTTAGTCTTTTTCAGCATATTTAAACCCCTTAAGGGTAGCGAAGTGCTGGCAAAATTCTCTAATTTTACTTAGTCTTTCTTCTTGATGGCACAATTCGACCCCATGGGGTTAACGAAATGCTGCCAAAATTTTTGAAAAATTCAACACTTAGTTTTTCTCTTCACTCTCTTCCACCTCCTTATTTATTTATTTATTTATTTATTTATTTATTTATTTATTTATTTATTTATTTTTCTAAAATTTTTAATTTGCGGCATTTTGAAAGTTATTGTGCTCCTCTCACTCTTTCCTTCCTCTTGGCACATTTTTGACACCATGTGGGGTGGAAAAATGTTGCTGAAAATTTCAAAAAAATAAATATCACCTCTTTTTTTTAACTTTGTTTGTTTATTTCTTTCTTTATTTTTATTATTTATTATTTTTTTTTTTATCTCAAAATTTCATTGTTTATTTTATTTTCTCTCCCCCTCCCCCCCCGTAATTATTATTTTATTTTCTTGATTAGGTCGCCGCTACCCTCCCCTAACCACTCGAACCCGAGTTAGGGTTTTCTTAGGGTTTTTCTAGGCTTTAGGGTTCTCCTAAACCCCCCTACTCCCCCTTCTCCTCCCGTCGGGCACCCTGGTCCCGAACGGCTCCTCTCCCCTCGACCGGATTCGCGCCACCATCTCACGCGCGACCCGCTGGTCACGGGGCGAACTGACACACGACTACCCACTCCGCTCTCACGGTCCCCTCCCTCTCACTGGTGGTCTCCTGCCCCTATACCATAACCCCTCTTTCCCGCCACCTCCCACCATGTCTACCTCTCTTCCTCCACCGCCCATGGACAGAGCTACATCAAAGGAGCTCGTCGTGGCGTCGTCCACCTCTCAGGCGTCCACCCACCCGACGGTCCAGGAACAGCATGTTGTGGACCCCACGGACCTTCGTGATGTTCTTGCGTCTCTCCTTGCACCTTTGCAAGCGCGATTCGATGCGCTTGCACCCTTGGAGAGGCAGGTCAACGTGATCGCCCTTGAAGTTCACCACCTCAAGGGCTCTCCTCATCGCTCTCCCCACCACTCTCAGACCCCATCCCCTACCGGCTCGGAGTCCGGTTCTCCACGACTCCAGGGACGGAGACGTGGTGGTTCGTCCTCCTCCGCGGGCGAGGCCCAGCACTCCCCCTCCGCAATGGTGAGTGCTGCTGCAGCTCAGACCATACCGTCTGTTGTGGCACATTCAGTGGCCCCTGCCGCTCCCGTCGCCCCGGCCGCTTCGGCCACTGCCGCATGTGATATCGCCCAGATACCGGTATCTAGCCATGCAGTTTCATCTACCCACCTCGGTGCTGCTTTCCATCTTCCTACACCTGTGGCGGCACTACGGCTCAAAGTTCTTCCTCCTCCCACCAGGGTACTCTCTCCGCCCCCTCCACCCCCGACCCCGCACACACAACAGGTGGCTACCCTACAGGCCACTGTGGCGCAACTCCAGGCGGAGATTCTATCCCTGAGACAACCTCACCCTTCACAGGTAGCTCAACCTTCTTCTTCTTATATCGCCCCTCCCACCTCTGTGTTGCCGGCTCGTTTCCCTCAACCGGCTCCCCCCCCTCTACCTTACTACCTCGCTACTTCGTCACAGTTGGTTGCGACTGTTGCCTCCACGTCTGCTGGACCGTCCACCAGCAGCCCCGGATCTCAGCCTACTACCACTTCCACGTCTGCACCAGCCTCGACATTTACCGCCGCAGTGCAGGCCCCTCGACCTCTCTCCCCTCGTCGTCAGCACAGCGGTCCCACCCTTGTGCGTTTGTCGGACATACCCGACTTGGATGGTACTATGCGTGTGTCGCACTGGTTGCAGGATGCCACACGTGTGCTGACACTGACTAACACTGATCAGGAGTTGTGGTGCTCCGCACTTGCAACTAAATTGCGAGGCAGCACGTTCGCCACATGGGAGAACTATTATACCCATCGTACTCGCTCAGGTGAGGCTCCCACTCTCGCAGATTTCACCGCGTTCGTCCATGACCGCTACAACACTCTCCACGATGCAACCGACGCCCTAGATCGRGTCACCCAGACGCAGTGGCGCGGGTCCTCCGCACCAGCCGATCTTGAGCGGCACATTAGAGTGTTTCAGGACGCCCGCCTCATCTGCGATAAGGCACTCCTACCTAAGGTCCTTTTGACCAACAGGTTCGTCGTCAGTCTTGCGACTGACTACCGCATCGAGCTCTGACGACCGCAGGGTTTTGTCCCCCCTCGCGGAGCTCTATCCCCTGAGGAGCGTGCCGCCCTTGAGGCCCGGCGTGGCTGCCTTCGTTGCCGCCAGGATGGACACACCTCACGGTGTCCATACCATACCGCCCTCGATCAGCACTATGCTGACATCTCTCGTCAGCGTCGATCTCTTTCCCCGCCGGTCCCTCCCGGCCAGCCCCACCCAGCTAGCCACCATGCAGCGTACCACTGAGGCCTCGCACGTAGCCGACTTCCCGACCACCGAGTCGCGGTTTGCCCCTTTGGCTACCCCACCAGAGGATCCTCAGGACACGACAGACGCAGTTCCCTCTGCCCCGTCGTCTGTCGAGGTACCGTCTGCCTCACAACAGACCGCCGCATCTAGTGCTTCCTCTCCGAGACTTCGGACGCGTCGTGCCATTTACACAGCCCGTTGTAGCGCTCAGCTGGCGACTAGCGATGACGTTGTGTCATCTCTCCTGGACTTGAGCATTCTTCAGGCTCGTCAGGAGCGACTCACGAGATACGTCAACGTCCTGCGTCGTCTTCTCACTCTGCTTTCTGACCCTGATCGCACTCTACCCATTATCCCTATTCGCCTACAGACATCTACGATGGTGTACCTCGCTTTATGGGACTCTGGCTCGCAGGGAGATTTCGTTCACCCTCGAGTGGTTGAGGAAGCTCGCCTAGCTACCTCTGGGTCTCGCTCTCCTATCTCCGTTACCCTCGGAGATAACAAGGCACAACGCTTCTTTGATCAGATGGTCTCCGACCTCCACTTCTCCCGAACCCTCCAGCCAGCGGATAGTACCCAGGCGCCTCGGCGTTACCATTCCTCCGCATATTTCGACGTGTTGGAGACTGGGTACGACTTTATCCTTGGCACTCCCTGGTCCCGCCGGTTCCGTTGCACAAAGGCCGAATGGGCGACCGAGACACTCGTTCTCAAAACGAAGTGTGGTCAGACCCATCGAGTACCCTTCATTGGAACCACGGGCGACACCCCTCTAGACCTACCTCCCCAGGACCCTCGTCCCTTTGGGTCCCACCCAGACATCGCCTTCACTTCTCCTCGTCAGTTTGCTCACTTCATACGACAGGAGGATATCACGTTCTACTCAGTGAACATCATGGATCTTCTTCGCTACGATCCACTCTGTCCCGAGGTTGAGCTCATCTCACTGGAGCCTGGTTCTCCTGACCCTTCCTCCGTCTTCGCGGCTCCCATCTCTACGTCCACCCGTCAGCCTGCGGATATCCCCTCCACGTCCCAGGCCCCTGCGTCGTCGACTGTCGAGTCCACACATACGTCTCGTGCCGACGCAGACATTGAGGAACTCACACGGTTCACGGCAGACTTAGAGCCCACCGTTCACGACCTGATTCGAGAGTACCGCGATGTCTTCCTTTCGTATTTCTCATGTTGCGGGATCCCTCCGATACGCGGTGTTGAGCATTCTATCCAGCTCGTGCCTGACTATCGTGCTCACCATCAGGCACCGTACCGACTCTCGATTCCAAAGGCGACGAAACTCAAGCGTCAGCTTGAGGAGCTCCTTCGACTGGGGTTCATTAAACCCAGTAACTCCCCTTGGGGTGCACCTATCCTCTTTGCTCGCAAAGCGGACGAAACTTTCCGCCTCTGCATCGACTACCTCGACCTTAACCGTTACACGGTTAAGAACAATTATCCCATGCCCCAGACGGATGAGATGTTTGACAGTCTGGCAGGCAACCGCTTCTTCACGAAAATCGATCTTCGTAGCGGTTATCACCAGATCCACGTTGCCGCAGGGTATCAGTCGAAGACCGCCTTCCGATCGTGCTTCGGCCACTACGAGTTCACGGTGATGCCATTCGGCCTCACCAATGCACTCGCAACCTTCAGACGACGATGAACGACATCTTCAGGGACATCCTTGAAGAATACGTTCTCGTATACCTGGACCACATCTTGGTCTACAGTCGTACCTTAGAAGACCATATCAGACACCTCCGCGATGTCTTACAGCGCTTACGCAAGCATGGCTTCTATACCGAGCTTAGTAAGTGTCGATTTGCCCAGCGGAAAGTGGACTTCCTAGAACACCATGTGTCTGACCGGGGTCTCCACATGGACGACGCAAAGATCACTGCTATTGCAGAGTAGCCCGTCCCCATGTCTGTCAAGCAGCTTCGCAGTTTCCTAGGCCTCACCAGCTACTATAGTAATTTTATCCAGGGATACGTTAGGTATTCCTAGGTATTCCTACGTCCTTACCTCCACCCTCCTCCGGAAGAACCCGCCATGGTTTTGGACACCCCTCTACGAAAATGCCTTCCGTGCCCTCAAGAAGGCGGTGACTTGTGCGCCAATTCGTCGCCTCCCAGATTTTGATCGCCCCTTCATCGTCACCACTGATGTGTCAGATTTTGCAGTAGGAGCAGTACTTTCTCAGGTGTTTCCCTCTCCTCCTGATTCACCTTATCTCCATGTTCCTCTTTCCCCCCCCCCCTCTTGCTGACACTGCTTCTCGACTGACGCCTATCCTTCCACCACTTTCCTCCACTGACAGTCCTCCTATTACTTACTCCCCGACCATCGCGGAGGATGGGGCTGTTGAGGCTCGTGCTGGGGATTGCCCGAACGCCTTCTACTCCCGTCAGCTACTGCCTGCCGAGATAAACTACACTACCGATGAACGTGAGGTTCTCGCAGTAGTTTATGCCACCCGGCATTGGCGTCTTTACCTGCACAGGGCGCCCTTCACGGTGCGCACGGACAACTCAATTGTCCAGGCTTTCCTCACGAAGCCCAAGCTTTCCCCTCGACAAGCATGTTGGTGGCGTGACTTATCCGAGTTCAGTTTCAGCACTCAGCCCATCAAGGGTGAAACGAAACGCGTCGCCGATGCCTTGTCCCGCCGTCCTAATCACAATCAGGAACCCATCCATCTTGTTGCCATCCCCATCACCACTGTTGATCAGTCGGTGATCGACGCATATCGCACCCTGTACCGTCATTGCCCGGATTATCGCGTCATCCACGCGACACTGAAGAGTGGCAAGACCGTTCCCTCATACTCCCTTGGTGAGAATGGTCTCGTGTACTGGCATGGCAGATCTGGTCAGCTAGAACCACGTATCTGCGTTTCCTCCACCGGACAACTCAGCGTCCAGGCTGTAGCAGAGTTCCATCACCAGGCAACTGTCGGTCATATGGGCTTCCACAAGACGTTGGCTCGTGTTTGCCACCTATACGTGTAGCCGAAGTCCAAGGACTTCGTCAAAGCCTACATCCAGGAGTGTTCTACCTGTCAGGAGGTGAACAGTGCGAACCACCTTCCGTATGGGTTACTTCAACCCCTACCCATACCTGAGGGTCGTTGGCAGTCCATCTCGATGGATTTCATTGGTCCCCTCCGCCCACCCACTGAGCGCGGTCATGATGCTATCTTGGTCGTCGTCAATCGCTTCACGAGGCGTGCACGTTTTGTCCCGTGCCGCTATCGCATTAGCGTACGTAAGGTCGCCGACATCGTCTTCGACCGAGTCGTGAGAGATCACGGCTTACCTCAGAGCATCATCTCCGACCGTGACCCGCGCTTTACCAGCACATTCTGACGACGCCTACACGAGGTGTACGGATCCTAGCTCCGCTTCTCATCGTCTTACCACCCCCAGACGGATGGTCAGACTGAGGTCACCAATAAAACTCTCGGTAATATCCTCCAAAAGTTTGTTAGGGATGACCAGCAGTGGGACTTACACTTAGCCCACGCGGAGATCGCGTACAACCACGCTGTTTCGCCAGCCACGAGGATGTCGCCATTCTATTGCGACCTCGGCTACCACCCTCGCGTACCCGCGGACTTCCTACGACCATCGCGGTTGCGCCCAAACACTCGTTGTCCTGCGCTGGATGACTAGATCGCCCACATGACGGCGATTATGAAGCACGCACATGAGAGTCTAACCGATTCCCAGACTCGCATGAACAACGAGCAAACCGATCACGAATGGATCACGCATTCAAAGTCGGTGACGATGTGCTCGTCGACGCACGTCACTTGCAGCTCGAAGCGGATACGCTTCGCAAGTTCAGGCGTCGTTTCTTCGGTCCATGCCACATCCTTCAGGCCGTCGATTTTGATTATGCCGCTAGTCCGGTCAGCTTCCGTGTGAAGCTACCTGATTACCTCCGACAGGCTCGCGTACACGATGTTTACCACGTCTCCTTGCCGCGTCCTTATCGCAGACCGTCCGAGCGCTTCGCCGGACGTCCTTATGAGCGCCCTCCACCTATCATGGTGGACGGTCACAAGGAGTTCGTTGTTTCCAGCATCGTATCTCGCCGAGTTACCGACGATACCCCTCCACGCATCGAGTACCTTGTGCATTGGAAGGGTTATCCTGATGAGGAGGCTACTTGGGAGCCCCTCGAGCACTTGCTGCACGCCCGGATGTTGGTGCGTGCATATGATCGTGCTCGTCGTGCTGAGACATCTGCTCCTACTTAGCCGACTGACCCTTTTCCTCCTCCTCCGGCTGAGGAGATTGCTGAGAACGAGCCCGCTCCCTCTGAGGCCGTTCTTCAGTAGCAGATGGACGCCTCCACGCGTCCACAGTGCACTCGTCGACGTCCTCGGCGTCTTGACGGGTGACTCTCTGATCACGTACTATCACCCTATTGACTCACACCTTCAGGTACTTCATCATCAGCTTCTTCAGGATGTCAGCGTTTTGCGGCTCTGCTTCGACATCGACTCGACTCCTACTTCATCGACCACTTCGACGACTTCAGTCGCCTTCTCGACTTCAACCATCTTATCGGCTTCTAAGAAGTCAACGCCCAAGAGGCAGTAGGCCGCTATATCTTCGGGAGGAGCAAGCAGCTACTCATTTATGGTGTGCAAGGATTGGCGACATCCTATTGGAGCCAAGCGTTGGACTTGGGAGCGCTACTAGGAAGAGGAGAGCAGTTGGGCGCTCGGCCTGGCTATGGCGAGCAACCCAGCCAGAGGAGGAGGAAGAAGGGGGCGTAGGAGAAGAGTGGCGAGGTATCTACCTGGCTATGGTGGACACCATCTTCATCACCTTGTTGGGCGCTGCATCTGGAAGGCCTCGATTGGGGTAGTACCAGACCAAGGAAGCTCGAGGCAGAGTCACGCATGGCGGCTTAGTGAGCAGTGGCATATCCGCTTTGTGTTCTTTTTTGGACAGGAATGCAGCGACATATCTGCTTCGCGTCGCCTTTTGCACAGGAGGGCAGAGCCCTTAGTAGTCCAGAATAGCCTAGGCATGTGAGAGGAGGAAGAAGGGGGAAGCCATAGCTATGGTGGACCTGTTGTTGTGTCAGCAGTAAGAGGGAACTTCGGATATTGATTCTGGCTCATCCACTCATTGTTATTATTATTATTGAGAGAATAAAATTGACGAAGTCAAGGAGGAGGAAGGTGGAGAGAGAAGCGAGATTTGTCATTGGTCTTGCCGATGCACATCTTATTATTATTATTATTATTATTATTTTTCTTCTTCTTCTTCTTTCTCTTTTCGTTGGTCTCTATCTCTTTGCAAGTGGTTTCATTTCTTTCGCAATTGGGTGACATTGTCTTTCATTGCGAATTTGCACTTCGGGAATGACCAGCATCGTAACAAATCCGTGTTTTTTTTTCTTTTTCTTTCAAGAGCGTAAAATTTAGGAGGATATAACAAAAGAAAAAAGACTTGGCGCATCACAACTTCACAAGCATGTCGTACAACTCAAGATTAAAAAAAAAAAAAAAAACAGTTTTGCAATTATTTCCTCCCTCCTCGGTCACCGTTCCAAAATAACTTCGCTACCTATATCGAAAAATGAAAAAAGCAAAAATATTCTCATAACGACGACCTTAATTTGAAAAGACCGAGTGGTTTGTTGAAGACATTTTCACAATAGGGAAAACAAAAGAACGTGGCATAGAGAGGAGGGAGGAAGAAGACATGAGGTTAGGCGATGAAGGAGGGATGACCAGGAAGGAGGTGGGACGAGAGGTGACCTGCGTGACAGCGTCCGCCGCGGATCTTGCGGCCTCAGCCATGGCCGAGGAGCCCGGCTGCGGGCCCGCGCGGCCAAGTTTGCGCGCGGCAAAGCCAGGCCCAGGCAGGGACGCGCGCGGGAAAACGGCGCGAGCACGCGGGCTGCGCACATCGGCCGTTTTCACCCTGTAAAAAAAAAAACAAAAATAAAACAAAATTTTGGGGGCATGGTTTTTGGTGTGTGACAAAAAAAAATAAAAATAAAAAAAAAATAAAAAAATAAATAAATAAAAAATTGATTGATTGATTGGTTGGTTGATTGATTGATTGATTGATTGATTGGTGGGGGAGGGGTCCTCCCTCCCCTCCCCCCGACACACACACACATACACACACACACACACGCAATCAGTTTTATGTTTATTTGTTTTTTTCCTATTGTCTTTCTTCCCTCTGCCCTCTAATTCTTTCTAAGTATTTTTTTGTGTGCCCAACTGAGCATCCTTAGGTAGTGCTAAACAGTCGATAGTTCCTCGTTTGGAGCGCCAACTACACTCTTAGGGGGTCCGCTCGGTTCGGGATGTCTGTGTTGCTCGTAGGTGATGACGGATGCTCGTCGGAGTGTCTCCCTGGCTCAGTGGGTGGTGGGAACCAACAGTCTGTGGGGTTCACCACTGATGTGAGTAGGTGATCTGCTGCTTTGCTCCGTGTTGGATGTGTGGACGACCCCATCTGCGCTCCACTACTGCCTTGCTGCGCGTTCCGCCTGCCTCGCAGGTCATTCTTGGCATGTTGTTGTCTTCTCTGTGGCCGGGTTGTGGTGTTGCCTTGCGCTTCGCTGCCTTGCCGCACGTCCGCTGGTTGCGCCTTCCGGGTCCTTTGCTTGCGCGCCCTGTAGTTTGGTTGCCGTGTTGGGGTTGCCTTGTGCTTCTCAACATGGTCGCTCTGCTGCTTGTCCA